CACAAATAGAGAATGGAGTAAAATTCGCAAATAAATGAGCTTTTGTATAAACATATTGATGAAAGGTGAAAGTGTATGCCATTGTGAAAGTTTCATGGAAATTGATTTTGAATGAAAAAAAAAGAGGCGAGAAATAAAGGAAACCATATACAACACACTAGATTGTGTTTTCAACGGAGCTCATTGTTAAGATTCATCATAGTTGCACTACGGCACGTACGAAATTTATGTATGATCTGCGGTGTGTGCGGTGTTTTCATTGAAACACCGAGCGATGAGCACAGAAGACAGGAGTTGATTGCCGATTATTTGGACAACAACCAAGAATAAACCAAACTGTCGATTACACTAATGAGATGACACCTTTCACGTTCCGCTCAACCGAAAACTTTCACTCGATTTCAGATAATATACGTCATTTGTATTGGTTTCAACTCTAATGGATTCTAATGTCCTCATGTTATTATTGCCACATTTACGAGCACACGAGCATAACAAACAGCTGACACACGCACACTGTGGCTCCGTTCAATACAATCTCGCTGGCAGAAATCGCAATCGTTACACCCGAATACACTCGCGCTGGATGGACACAGCACGCACTATCAAACACTCCCACACAATCACAATATATACGTATTGCGCCATGAGATGGAAACGTGTATTCGCAACACCGCACTTAATCTATAGCAAACGCTAAAGCATCGCAACGAAGCGAGAAAGAATCCAATTAATTCATGTTTTTATGTATCATTGTACAACTAAATCGAGAGCGTGCATTCGACTGTGTGAATTATTGCGAAGTGCTTTTCATTTGCGTTTTCGCTTTGAAATGAAAAACCCCCAACCGATATCGATGTCGGCATACATCATTATTCGATGCGAGTACCTTTGAGAACATTTCGTTTTTTCGTCTTTTTTTCACATAGAATTCAAGCGGAATTTTATTGCAATTCCATACACTGATCTGAAGTGGCTGCCATACAAATTCAAAAATGCACCGGAATACCTAATCAAAATTCGATTTCGCTCCAATATTCCGAATGGACTTATTAAGTTGCTGTACATTTTATGCGGTTGCAAAGCATTCAGGCCAATCGAAACGAATATTCTGTGAATGCTTTTGAAGTTGATTCGAACGGTGTATCAATGCTAGAGGTGTATTTGTGTTTGGCTGTAATCAAGCCTAGTTCAATAGGAATGCCATTGGCCAAAAATGAACGGCAAAACATCTATTTTTAATTGTGATTACAGTGCTACGCAGTTTTTCAATTCGATGTGATTCGAATCTATCAATAAACTGGCGAGAATGAGAGAGGTAAAGAGAATGAGACAAAAAGGACGCGGAGATATGAAAAGGGAAACGAGAACAGAGGAAGTGGGAAAGGAAGAGCAACCATAAAAGCGGAAATTCAAATAATTTCAATGCTCGCTAAATACATCGGCACTTCCCTTTGTCGTCAAATATTCACAAATAATACTCAATATGGCTGTGATTCTGTATTTTACCTGTCGTTTGACCTTTCTGCACTTCTCTCTACTTCGTTTCTCTCTCTTTTTCTTCCTCTCACACACTCTCACTCAAACACAAGCACATATTTTTCCAATCAATAAATGAAAACGATGCGTATTTAATTCGATACCAACATACTTCCTCTCATTCTATCACCATATTTGAATGCAACGCACAAAGGCATTCATTGAAAATCGTCAATGGAGCAAAAATTTCAAATATGATTGGTTCAATATTGGCCACATAAAAAGCGATACCGCTGAATTAATTAAATACCATCCAATTATATCCAAATCAAAAGTCATTAAATTTGTATGCGCAATAGAAAATACACGTGCTATCTCCCTCTCTTTTGATATCGCATTTATTTAAACGGGTTTCATCGTAATTAAATCGCTTTCATCCGCTGTATCATTATCCTATGTTTTAATGACTTTGGTGTTATCCACTTTGTTCATCACTCTCTATTGGCAGGAGAGAAAAATGTGCTAAATTTGAATATTTGGCCCCAAAAAAATGGCATCATCACTGCAAGGTATTGCATTTTTTTCGTGATATTTTTCTGCTGAAATGAAGATTTTGACATAAAAACTTCGCATAAAATGCAAAAGTCACCCGACTTAGTTCCATTGTCTTTACGAGAATCTCTAAGAAAGTGTCCGCATCGATACAGCAGCTGCATCAGCAAGTTGAATGAAGAAAAAAATTGCCGAAAAAATATGTTTAAAGTTTTCAGTGCAAAGTGCACAACGGTCTGGTGTCTTTATTTGATTTGCATATTAAAGTTTAACGCAAAACCATTTCCAGAAGATTTCATTGGAAACTCCATGAAGCTTCAAAAGATGTGCAGCCAGCTAGTCAGCACCAAATGTAAAAATGAATCCAAAAAAAAGTGATAAGAACAGCTTGTGAATAAATCCATTTAATTCGATTCATCTGTGAGCACCGAAATTCCTTTTTTGTTTTTCATAGCAAATGTGCGCACGCACACACGTCCCAAGAAACGTTCAATGCTAGATTTAAATCTAACCAAAAGACAAAAGAATGAAACGAGACTGGTTTGAATTACCTCGAAAAAAATAGAACGAAGAAGAAACGGCAATGACAACACAAAACACCCAGAGAGACACGAAGAGAGTGAAAATTGCATAAAAAAACATTGTAAATGATGAAAAGTTCTCGACATGCATCGGAACGCGTTAGCTCCATAGAGTGTGTTCATGGTATCAAGTTATACACTCTGATATAATTACGTTACGCTGCGTCGTTGCATTTAAACCAGACAAAGTAATGCGCTAGCATGATTGTGGCACACATACACACACACACGAAAGAAAAAATAATAATGGGAGGGTGGAAAATTCTGTGAAAGAAAAACGGCGTAAACCAAAGGAAAAATCGACGTAAAATGTATCAAAATGAGCGATAGAAGAGAAGCTTGAATTTGTTTACTTCGGTATTTTTCATGCTTATGTTGATTTGATGCAATTCGACGAGGCGCACAGACAAAGTTGTGTTAGTGCGTTGGTGCCGGCATGCAAATGAAACCAAACGTGTAATGGAATACAAAGAAAAGGAGTGGGAAAAAAAGAACGACGAATAAAGGGATCTCAAGAGATAAAAAACGAGGAGTTACGAGAAAAAAAAGGTCAAAAAATACGCAGACAGACGATTGGATAAAACGGTGAGTGTGTGTGTGTGAAAAAATATTGGTTTGCTATTTGGCAGCAGTGGCATTGGCAACAGCAAGAGAGCAAATCGTGTGAATGAACAATGATGATTAATGGAAAATCCATTTTACAATGTTTGCCAGTTGGGTATTTATCTCTCTCCCATGTGAGCCACTTTGCGTTTTCTGGACTCACTGAAGTCGAATTGCTCGCTCTCTCCCTCTCTGTCTCTCTTTTTATCATCAATATATCTTGCGTATCGATAACGAACACATTCGATTGCAGCGGCGAAAGGGCTTTCGGGCAAAAGTGAACGAACAGAAGAAACATACAAATGTATGTAGAGTGTGATAGTATGGATCGGGCAATCATAGAGTGCATTTGTGGTGGCATTAAACGGTTTTAGCATATTGTAATGTGCATTTGCAAAATCGTAATTCGAATTTGCATATTTCACTGCTGAATAATTTCTGGCCCCAATCTCCCTCTCGACTCCCTTTTACTCCGACATCTCGGAGAGCAAACTGTGACTGACGGCTGGTGAAGTAAGTGTGCTCTCAGCAGGAGTGCAATATCCTTAACGCATTTCTATTGTCGCTTGATTATATGTATCATCTATCAGTTTTTGTCTTACCAGTTCAACCCGTTCGCTTGCTTTCTCTCTCTTTCTCTATACCCTCATCATGCACACAACCGTTCAGTCGGTAGTTTCACTGTTGCTGTCGGAAATGACAACAAGTTTTATAAGTTGGAACGCAATTCAGTCACTTGCACGCAAAACATCAACACACCACCACCACCACCACCACCGTCGCCGCCAGCAG